GTTACTTTCATGAGCTTGGTAGATACTTTGTGTGCGTTGATGTTACTTTTCATGAGGATGTTCCTTTCTTTCCTTCATCTCCAGATGCTATTTGTCAGGGGGAGGGGTTAATATCTTGATGTATACGGTCACGTCCTCTATTCCTATCTCTGTCCCTACTCCTCCTGTTCTTACTCCTCATGTTCTTACAGGTGTATTCTCGTCGACAAAGTATGCCGACTTCAGCAACCGTTGTATAGGCTGAAACAAAGTCCATGTGCGTGCTTTGAAAAATTTAGTCAAGCCGTTGAGAGCTTTGGAATGGTGAGAGGTAAATCGGATCACTCAATGTTTTATAAGTGGTTCAAAAAAGGCATCATCTAGTTAGTGGTCTATATGGATGACATTGTCATTACAGGAAGTGACACTAAAGGAATTTCGTCTCTTAAGGTCATTTCTTCATAGTCAATTTCAAACAAAAGATTTGGGACCATTGAAGTACTTCTTTGGTATTGAAGTTTTGAGAAATAAAATAGGCATATTACTGTCTCAACGAAAATATGTACTTGACTTACTCTTTGAAATAGAAAACTAAGTACTAAACTATGCAATATTCTCATGATACCGAACATGCAATTGTCAAAAGAGGGGGAGCCGTTTGAAGGTCTGGAGAGGTATAGGAGATTAGTTGGGAAGCTAAACTACTTGACAGCTACTCGTCCAGATATTGCATACCTAGTTAGTGTTTTGAGCCAGTACATCACTGGGAACCTGTAGAACACATCTTGAGTTACTTGAAGGGAGCCCAAGACATGGAATTTTGTATAAGAATCATGGTCACACCAAGATTGAGTGCTTTACTGATGTTGATTGGGCAAGATCCAAAGAGGATTGTAGATCAACAACTGGATATTGTGGCTTTTTTTGGAGGTAATCTGGTTTCGTGGAAGAATAAGAAACAAAACGTGGCTTCTTATTCGAGTGCAGAGTCTGAATATAGAGCGATGGCACAATCAATGTGTGAAGTGATGTGGATAAACAATCGTTTGAATGAGTATAGTTTCAAAGCTCCGATTCCTACAAAGTTGTGGTGTGATCACCAAGCTGCTCTACATATTGCATCAAACCCGATATTTCATAAACGAATTAAACACATAGAGATTGACTATCATTTTGTTCGTGAGAAGGTACAACAGGAGTTAATCTCCACTGAGTTTGTAAAGACCGAAAAACAACTCGCAGGTCTATTCACAAAGGCCCTAACTGGGACCTGAGTAGACATGATTAAGAACTATGATCCAACTTTGCCCAACTTGAGGGGAGTGTTATAGAATATTGAATATGGAATCCTACATATTAGGAAGTCTACATATTAAGAAGTCTGGAGATTAAGGTTTCAAGATATATAAACACTTGTTTCCATACCATATGCTCTCTAGCTTGTATTTATAGGGTGGTGGTTTCTCCGTATGAAGTGTGAGACAGAGAGCTACTCCACAACTCAAGGTATTCTCTCCTAAGCCTTTCAACAGTAAAAGATCTGATGATTTACTCATCTAGAAATTCTAATTTATAGTGCTAGAAAATAAACAATAAACAATTATAGAAAAGGAGATGATTGTTGCGAGCCTTTAATTTATTTTCGTCAAATCCCTCGAGTTAAGCCTTTCCTCGTATATTCTGATTTGTCTGATTTGCATCCTTCCTTTTTCTGTGTGAGTAAACTATAAATCCTTTTGGGTGCTATCAAAAGCACGCTTGATGGCTAAGGGGTATGCACAGATATATGGTATAGATCATATCAAGACTTTTTTCCCAGTGGCTAAATTGACTTTGGTACGCATATACTTGAGAAAGTTTATATGATGATTTACTTGATGAAGTTTATTTGGTGAAAAAATGCCTTTTTGCATGGTGATTTACTTGAGGAAGTATATATGGAGCAACCACCAGGGCTTGTTGCTTAGGGGGAATTCGGAAGAGTGTGTAAGTTGAAAAATCTTTAAACGGTATGAGACAGTCCCTGCGTGCGTGGTTTGGGAAGTTTAGCAATGCAGTTGTGGAATTTGGAATGCAGAGAAGTGCATGCAATCATACTGTCTTTTATAAACGTATTGACTGTGGATGTGTTATGTTGATAGCATATGTGGATGACATCATAATCACAGGTAGTGATGAAAGGGAAATTGGTGCTCTTTAAGTCCTTCCTCAGAACTGAGTTTCATACTAAGGATTTGGGAGTACTGAAATATTTCTTGAGTACTGAAATTGCTCGCTCAAAGAAGTGCATACTTCTTTTATAGAGAAAATATGTGTTGGACGTTCTCAATAATACTGAATTACTTGGGTCAAAATCGTGCAATACGCCCATGGGAAGTGTGCTGAACTAGCTCACAATTATTTGTCTAGATATTACGTTTCTAGTAAGTGTGGTGAGTCCATTCATGAGTTCACATACACGAACTCATTCGGAAGCAGCTATTCGCATTGTGAAATATTTGAAGGGAGCATCTGGGAAAGGAGTTCTTTAAAATAATCATAGACACATATGTTGAGGCATATTTCGATGCAGATTTGGCTGGGTCGCCTGATGACAGGAGGTTTACAACAGGATATTGCGTGTTTGTGGGAAGAAACTTCTTAGTCTCGTGGAAGAATGAGAAGCAGCATTGTGGCACGATCAAGTGCGGAGTCAGAGTATAGAGCTATGGCTCATATGACTAGTAAAATAATTTTGGTGCATAATGTTATGAAAGTTATAGGTGCAAAGGTAAAGTTACCTATGCAGTTGTGGTGTGATAATCATGCTACTATACATATTATGAACAATCCAATTTTTCATGAGCGAACGAACTATATTGAGGTTGATTGTTATTTTATACAAGAGAAAGTTCAACAAGGACTGATTGTGCACATTGGTAGTGCTGATCAATTAGCTGAAAGGGCTTAACAGGAGTTGAATTTCATATATATATATATATATATATATATATATATATATATATATATGTATATTTATGTAATAAGCTAGGCACATTAGATATTTATGCTTCAGCTTGAGGAGAGTGTTAGAGGAATCAAGTTCTAGTTGAAATATAACTCTCAACCTTAATATGTAATTTGAATTATGTGGTCCATTTGAGTTGGTTCACCCGATGTTTGGGGTCTATGTCATCTTATATCTAAATCTAGGTTTCAATACTTTGTTACGTTTGTTGATGATTATTCTCGCACGACTTGGTAATATTTCATAACTAGTACTCTAAATTGTTCTCTCATTTTCGTGTTTTTTTTTTGCTGAGATTAGAACACAATGTAATATTCTTCTGCGTACCTTGCAAAGTGATATATTGATAATCATCCTTGAACATGGTCTTTTACACTAATCATCCTGTGTTAACACTACATCTCAAAATCGGGTTGCAGAAAGAAAATTAGACACTTGTTGGGAACTGCACAGGCTCTCCCGTCTCCGTTCAGTTCCACACGCTCCACCACCGTCAGCGAAAGTCTCAACTATTTTCCGGCCAAATCTTCCTCCTTAGATCTACGATCAAGACGCTGCTCCACCTTTGGAATCCTCTTGAGGAGACGCATTTGACTGTGTTTTCAATTCCCTCATTTCTGCAAGTCGACGTCAACGCTGGTCGACCATCTCTTGAGCCAATTTTCCCTTTCCTTTTGAATAATATTAGGGCTTCATCTCTCATCGTTAGTAGCTCATTTTTGTTGTCTCTCTCTCTCAAGCTAGTACCACAAGTACTTGGATTCTAGACATAGGGGCCTCAAATCATATTTTTAGTAATCTATCTCTTATGACTAATGTCACAAAGTCTAAAACTTTGCACATGGTTACCTTAGCTAATGGTTATCAAACACCCGTTGCCGGTGTTGGCAGGCTTTTCCTATGTCATCTTTTCCTTTAGAATCAATTTTATATGTTCCCAATAGTCCTTTTAACCTTATCTCTGTGAGTGAAGTCACTCGTACCATCAATTGCCCCATAACCTTTTGTGCTGATTCAACTGTTGTGCAAGATCGTAGTATGGGGAAGATGATCAACATTGGGATTGAGTCACAAGGTCTCTATTACCTTTGTTGTCTTGCTGCCTGTGTTTCCACATATTCTCACATGCTTCTCCTAGTCGTTTGGGCCACCATAGTATCTCCAAACTTTGACGGATGGTTCCATGTCTGTCTATAGAGTCATTAGACTGTGAGTCATGTCACTTTGGGAAACAGTCACGAAGAGGCAATAATCGGGCTGCATCTCTTTTTAATTTAGTTCATACTGATGTTTAGAATCCATGTCGTGTCAATTTTTACTTTGGATTTCATTACTTTGTCACTTTGGATGATTATTCGAGGTGTTCTTGGGTGTTCCTTATGAAAGATTGTTCTGAGTTATTCCAGATTTTTTAAAATTTTTGTGCTGAAATACAAACTCAATTTGGTAAACTCACTCGTGTTCTGCGTAATGACAATGTTAAAGAATATCCCTCTAATCCCTTTCAGTCCTATATGACCTCTTGGGGTATGTTACACCAACCGTCGTATGTTTACACACCTCACCAGAATGGGGTGACTGAGCGTAAAAATCGACATTTAATTGAAATTACTCGCACTATGTTACTAGACTCTCATGTTCCTCAGAATTTTTTGGCTGATGTTATTACTGCATGTTACTTGATAAATAGCATGCCATCCTTAGTACTAAACAATGATACCCCATATTCAATTGTGTATCCTGGGGTTGGTCTTTTCCCTCTTCTACCTCGAGTTTTTGAGTGTATTTGTTTTGTTCATGACATGACTTGGGCGTTTGAAGTTAGCCCCTAAAGTTGTCAAGTGTGTTTTCTTGGGTTATTCCCAACTCCAAAAGGATTATCGGTGTTATCTAAATTGAAAGAGTATTTCTTCAATCGATTCTAGATCAAGGATTTGGGCTTTCTCGAAATTGAAGTGGCACAGTCTAGCAATGATATAATTATTTCTCAAAGAAAATATGTCTCATATATTTTAGAAGAAAATGGTATGTTGGATTGTAGACCTGTAGTTACCAATAGATCTGAATGTTAAACTTTTACAAGAATTGGGGAGCCATTGCCTGACTGAGAACCATACATGAGATTAATTGAAAAAATTTGAATTATCTCACAATTACACGACCAGGTGTCTCTTTTGTAATTGGTGTCTTGAGCCAGTTTCTTGAGAACCCTTGTAATACTCATTGGGACGACGCTGTTGTTCGGGTTCTAAGATATATCAAGAGAGCACCAAGGCAAAGCTTACTATACGAAGATAGAAGACATGCTCAGGTTGTTGGGTATTCTGATGTCGATTAGGCTGAATGTCTATTTAACAGACCTTAACTTCAGGTTATTGTGTGCTCATTGATGGTAATCTTATATCTTGGAAAAAGTAAGAAACAAGTTGTTGTCATGTCCAGTGCTGAAACTGAATATCAGGCCATGACTCTTGCCAAGTGTGAACTCATGTCTCTGAAACACTTACTACAAGAGTTGCAATGTGACAATGTTTCTCAAATGACACTGATATGTGACAACCAAGCAGCTCTACACATCGCCTCAAATTCAATTTATCATGAGAGGACCAAACACATCAAGGCCGATTGCCACTTCATTAGAGAGAAGATTGTGTCAGGGAGTATTAAACCTAGCTTTGTCAATTCTGTTGATCAGTTAACTGATCTGACAAAATCTCTTAGAATTCCTTAAAATTGGGTATATTTGTAACAAGCATAGAGCATATAATTTATACTCTACAGCTTGAGGGGGATTGTTGAAACCCTAAGCCCTTTTAAGAATAGGCCCATTAGGTTAATAGTATATTTATATATAAATAGTAGATATCTATACAGTTGTTTTCAAAGTATACAATAAAATCCTTTTATTCTTCACAAGTTCGATGCCTAGTTTACTTCAAACCTTGCTACAATAGTGCAAGGGCAGTAACATAGGGGTTGGAGTGCTAAGTTCGGTGGCACCATATGGATAGCGAATTTGGAGATAAAAGAATGAAATGGTTATCCTCTACGAATATTGGGTTGTACAGAAAGATAACTTGAAACAAATAGCAAGTTTTGGAAATTTTGTTAAGAGTGGTAAAGAAACAAAATTTTCGATTGAGTTTTGAGTTGCAGATAAACCTCTTTAGCAATATCTGGTTCAAGAAATATAGCCAAAGGATATGATAAGAACATAACCCATTACTGAATTGCGAATGTTGGTTGGGGTGCGGATAATTGAGTAACCAACTCTTTATTTATTGACATTGAAGATAGATTTTTTGCAATGATTTTCTATGAGGATACAACTTAGCAAGATGAGATTGTATGGGGGTTGGAAAAGTCTAGAAACATTTCTATGAGATCAACATATGGGTTTGCAACTTTGGAAGACATTGACAAGTCTAGTAGTGACTACTAGAAAATAGGACAAATAAGGTTGCTAAATCAAATTTTGGCATTCATGTGACTTATGAAACAAAGGACAACAATGTGCAATAGTGAGCAAAAAAAGTGAGGATTTGCACTTATTTGTGATATAATAGGTGAGTGTGCCCAAAATCTAGCCAAGATTAACGCGCTTTGTTGTTTACTTGTTTATTTTGTGATTGTGTTTCTAAAATGTTGAGTTTGATGCCTAATTCCAACCTTGCTAAAGTAGTGTAGGAGCAATACAATAAGAGTTTGAAAATAGTTGTCACCATATAGAAATGTGGAGATGGAAGAATGAAATGGTTATCCATTACTAATATTGGGTTACAATGAAGATAATGTATGTGGAACAAGTAGCAAGTTTTGAAAATTTTGTCAAAAGTAATAAAGAAACATAATTCTAGACTAAGTCTTGGGTCAAAGATAAACTCTATAATTCTAGACGAAGTCATGGGCATATGACGTAGCAAGAAACACCCACACCTAAAGTGAAGTGATTTATGAACTATGAACGTCATCAATCACCAAACACTTCAATACCATGGGTTTCTTGTTTAAATATGAAGTAATTTTAACCCTAAATTTCTTAAAAATAGTGTTGGTTTCATGTACATATGAAAACACACATAAAGGCACACTCTATGTGTTATTCACTCAAGTCAATCCATTTGTATAGATAGTTGCTCTTTGTAAAATCGAGGTGAGAAGCCTTCGATCATGATCATTTTGTTGCTTTAAGGTTTCGATAACTAATAAGATTCGCCTAAGGCACCTTGATCTATAAAAATAGCTTAAACAACTATCCACTATTCAAGATGATAGCAATAGCCATGTTGGTTTATCTGATCTCTTGTATTGTTATTACTTTTGGATCCAATTTTATCTGGTATCTAGTCCTAGTTGAATCTCTTATCAAAAAAGTAATTGGTTGCATATGATTACAATATAAAAATTGGTATTCTTTCTACAATTCTTTATACATCCAACAAATACCAATAAGGTCATTTGTGAATATCTTTTAATTTTGTCCCCTATAATGTTTCCTTTTTTAATTTTGATTTATGGTTAAAATTTCAATGTTCATAAAATATATAAGTAAATAAAATTTTCATGACAAAAGGTGTCAAATCTATGAATAGCGTGTGAAACTCTAAGGAAATCATATTTGGTCCTAGGTGGGCTTTAATTACAAAAGTCAAAATTGTGTAAAGATTATGCATAACCTCTTAATGGGAGTAGTCTATAAAAGTATTCTATGACGAAGCTAGTCAAGTCTATCTACACAATAGACTTGTTGAGTAATTCACAAGAGTAGTGAACTTTCCTAAGATTCAAACTAGGGTAGAGTTTAGAAGCTTTCTTCTTGACGAATCAATCACCTTACCATTAATTATCTAATTCTATTCGGGTACTAGGGTTTTAGTATGTGACAAAGGGGATCGAGCTGATTAGCGATATACAGATTGTTATGTCATTTGATGTTTGTCTTTTTTGCTTTCTTACTTTATCATTATAGGGATGTTATTGGATATTTTTTTACTAGTGCAATAAATTGGATATATATAATTGAAGGATTTCTAAGAGGCAAATTGACTAAATTGAAAGCATTTGGTCCAAGTTATGAAAATCCTATGTGAAGAAAAAATCAGGTATAAATTAATAGAAGGGATATATAAAACATAAGAGCTAAATTGTGATTTTAGGTGTTCATAACCAACCAAAATGATATCCTCCATATATAAGTTTATAGTCATCTAACTTATGCAAGCTAGTAAGATTCCGGCCTATAAATGAATTTAAGTATTCTTCTAATTTTATGTGAATTGAGCCACTGAGGCCTGAGCTGTGTCCTTGAATTGGCTATAATTACAATTCATCTATAGCACATGCTTGCATGCTCCTCTAGAGTTATCGCATGCAAGTGCAACCACAGAAATATCGGCGCCCAGTATACCAATACCAATTTGGGTTACGACAAACCCTTTACTCGAATAGTATGAGGATAAACACTAAGAAATAGTGCAAGCACGAATGCATTTAGTCATGAAACGACAAAAAAGAAAAAGTTCTGCAGAATGATACGACACTCAGTCAACATTATTGAGCCAGCGATAAACACAAAATTCTACCTCGAAAACCGAAATAATTAAAGCAAACAGAACGTAAAGAGGCGTTTACGGAAAGAGAAACCGCCATACGGCAAGATCTGCGAAATGCAATAATAGCGATTTTGAATATAATCTGGAGGAGGAGTATGAGAAACGGACCTGTTAGTGCTGGAGAAGTCGTAGAGCTTGCCGCTGCTGGAGAAGATGACGACGGCGACGTCGACGTCGCACAGAACGGAGAGTTCCTTGGCCTTCTTTATCAGTCCGTTCCGGCGCTTGGAGAAGGTGACTTGCCGGCTACTCTTGTCTTCGATTCGCTTTATCTCTACCTTCCTCCGCCCCATTGGATCGAGAAAAGCCCTAGAATTCCGATGAGTCCGGGGAGCTAAAGTGCATCATTATCGCCATTAAAACGGGATTCATAAAGTCATCACAAACCACTGACTCTTCGCACTCCACCCCCTATCCCCAGGGGTAATTTGCCGTCCAATCAGAAAGAGAAGGTAAAATCTCTTAAACAAAAGGCGGTAGGCGATAACTACTTCGCGTTTCTGTTCCCAAAACGCGGGCTGACACGTGGGATAAAACGGAACGGACAACGTGTTACCGCAAATGTGGCTACATAACGGGACACGTACAGCTGGAAATGGCATATTTAGACTTTTCTTCTCCCATATTTAGACTTTTCTTCTTCTGGGCTTGAAGGAGGAAAAATTACTAATTTTGAGTATTTCTCCTAGCGCTGTCTCTTCATTCAATTAAAGGATTATTACGTCACCATCTCATTTATGCTTTATTCTTTTTCTGAAAAGCTTTTTTTCCGTATTGATTATCATTCCTTTTCCTTTTTTTACCTCCTCTTTTCATCGGGTTAATGATAGAAATAGGTGTCCGCATGGGTAGCTCAACTGGTTATAGAGGTAAAATTTTGGAAGAATGACCAGGGATCGAGTCTCACCAGCGGCAGTGTGGGCCCACTCAAAGTGAGGGGGGCTCTTTGAGTCATCATGCCCTTAGGGTTGGGGACTCAAAGTGAGGGGAGCTCTTTGAGTCATCATGCCCTTAGGGTTGGGGTGAGCACAGTCTAGCCTCTGTGGTTCATGTTCAGTTGAGTCGGCCCTTAGGGTTGGGGTGAGCACAGTCTAGCCTCTGTGGTTCATGTTCAGTTGAGTCGGCCCTTAGAGTTGAGGTTCAGCCTAGTCTAGCCTCTGTGGTTCATGTTCAGTTGAGTTGGCCCTTAGGGTTGAGGTTCAGCCTTTTGGAAGAATGATAGAAATAGGCAAAAAATAAAAAAGAAATGAGGTTTGAACGAAAAAAAGTGGGTTGAGGTTCAGCCTTTTGGAAGAATGATAGAAATTGGCAAAAAATAAAAAAGAAATGAGGTTTGAACGAAAAAAAGTATAATTAGGCCACTAAACAAAAGAAATGAGGTTTGAACGAAAAAAAGTGTAATTAGGCCACTAAACACTCAAAAAACGTGTAGTTAGGCCACTGAACATTCCAAATGTATGTAATTTCACCGGGTTCCAAATGTATGTAATTTCACCGGATAGCAGGTTACTATCAATTTTAACCGGTTACTTGTTTATGTGGCAGCTGAGTTGACATTTTTAATAATTTTTAAATATTTTTTAATAAATTTTTAAAAAATAAAAAAAAAATTAAATAAAAAAATAAAAATAATAAAACGACGGGGTAACAGTTTTTTTTTTAAAAAAAATTAAATTTATTATTAGAAATTATTAAAAATGTCAACTCAGCTACCACGTAAGCATGTAACCTGCTAAAATAGACAGTAACCTGCTAAAATAGACAGTAACCTGCTATCAAGTGAAATTGCATACATTTGGAGTGTTCAGTGGTCTAATTGCACCTCTTTTTTTTTTCGTTCAATGGCCTAATTTCATTTTTAGGTTACGTTCAGTGGTCAATTTGAACTTTATTCCAATAAAAAATAATAATAATAAATGACAAAAATAAGAAGCTTTTAAAGTTGAACAAAAATAGGCAAAATTCATTTGCCAAATGCGTTTCTTGTCAAAAAAAAAAAATAATTTTAAAAAAAATTCTCATAGTCTACGTATGTATACAGACTAAACATGCAAGTGGGGCTTGCGTATCTCGTATGCCCTACTAGCCTAACTAATCTGGTGAGTTGTCATGCTGTGTTGGCATGACTTCTAATATCCTCCCACGAGCTACAGTGTACATATCATGTAGACTAAGCTTGAATATGAAACCATTGAAGGTGGTTGGAGCATGGGGCTTGATCCTTGATAAGTACATCAACTAGCTGGTTAACTATGAGAACATACAATAGCTACAACACCCCTTTCTATAATTTTTTCCTTACAATTTGACAATCCAATTCTATGTGTTTCGTTTGCTCATGGAACATAAGATTTTCTACGATTGTTATAACTGATTTACTGTCAGTAAACAAGACAGTCAAGGAATCAACAACCTCTAAAGCTTCAAGCAAATAATACAACTATTTTATTTCGCATGTTGCTGTAGCAAGAGCCTTATATTCAACTTTTGATGAGGAGCGAGACAATTCACCTACTTCTTAGACTTCTAGGAAACCAAAGCCGAACCCAAGAAAATACGGAAACCAAATAAAGATCTTCGGGCATCTAGATATGTAGCATAATTCGAATCAGTACGCGATACCCTTCATTTGGAGCTAGTTGTGTGCATGAAATAACAAGCCCCGACTTGAGCGGCTTTGATGTATCTCAGTACTCTATGTGCAACAACCTGTAAATGTACATTTGTAGAGCAATATAGAAATCGTGACAATTATTGTGTAGCAAAACTTATATTCGGCCTTGTAATGCTGAGGTACAATAGCTTACCCACCAATTATCTGTACTGAGTGGTATTTGCTAAGACAGTGTCACTTGCTTTACTCAATTTTATAGAAGCAACCATAAGATATTGAACTAGTTTGTTATGTAAGAAACCTGCACTATCTAATAAATTCAGAGCATATTTTCCTTGGTTAACAGTGACCCCTTCCTTATTTCTAGCAACCTCAATGACCAAAAAAAAAAGAGTGATGAGTAGACCTAAATCTTTGATATGATAAACATGGAAGTGTTCCTTACTATTGAATTTGTAACTTATCCGGACTAACCAACACCACATCATCCAAATATACCAAAAGAGCATTGAATGTATCACTTGTTCCCCTTATGAACAATGAAGAATTTTCAATTGTCTGTTTAAACCCAAGCTTAAGTAGCTCTGCAGTCAACTTGACATTCCATTGTCTACTAGTTTGTTTAAGGCCATGAAGGGACTTAATTAACCTACAAACCATCCCAAACTTCGGGATCCCCATGAAGAAAAACGTTATTAACATATATACTTCTTCATTGAGATCTCCATGGAGAAAAACATTATTAACATCCAATTGGTGCTCCATCCCATTCCAGCAACAACAACTAGGAGAGTCCCGATTGTTGTGACTTTAGCTACTAGACTAAATGTATCTAGATAATCCAGGTCAGGTGTTTCAGTGTATCCTTTGGATACAAGCCTTGCCTTATACCTCTCAATGATCCCATATGCCTTGTGCTTAACTTTGTAAACCCACTTACAACTAATAGTTTGTTTCGTAGGGGTAATCTAGTAAGTTCCCAAGCCTTTTTTACTTGCAAAACCTCAATCTCAATTGTCATGGCCTGCTTCCAACAATCATGTTGTATCGCCTCATTATAAGTCTTAAGGTCCGTTTGGAAAGCAGGAAAATAACTTTTGAAAAATGTTTTCTGAAAAATGAGTCATTTTCCTAAAAATATTTTCTTTTACTGGTGTTTGGCTGCACAACAGAAGACAATCTTTGTGTGTTTGGTTCATTTTTCAGAAAATGAACAGGAAAATGAAATACTCAACTTAAATACTCCAATTTGCTCAGTCATATCTAATGCCCAAAAATCATATTATTATTTTTTTAAAGAACCAAAAAAAAGATTTGTTTCTTCTTTTTTTTTTTTTGAACCAAAATCAGATTTGTTATGTTTTCTGGTTTCAGCAGCCGAAAACTACTGACTTTGATTTCCAGCTGCAGAAACCATTTCTCTGGTTTCCGGCTGCAGAAACCAGTTCTCTGGTTTTCGATGCGAAAACCGGAGGCACTGGTTTCCAATGCGGAAATCGGAGGCACTAGTTTCCGCATCGGAAACCAGTGAGGAGACTTCTTCCAACTCCAGGTTTTCGTCTAGATCTGTTAGATTTGGCGATTTATTGGTGGAGTTTGATGTTTATGGATGTGAGCTTTTGGCCAGAGGAGAGAACGACGAAAAATTACTCCCCCCCCCCCCCCCCCAAGAAAAGGGAAGTCATTTTTCGTAAAAGTTGAGTTATTTACCATTGACCATGTGTTATTTTTCGTTGACTTCTCTTTTCCTTGCCTAACCAAACACCAGAAACCCGAAAAATGATTTCTATAAATCATTTTTCGGGTTTCCAAACACACACTAAGGCTCTTTAGTGCAACTGATATTCATGACAAAGGCTTGGTAGCTAGGTGATAACTTGTGAACAGACAAAATTGTGGACAAGCTATGAGAAGAAGTTTTGTTATTTTCGCAATCATAATATGCCAAGTATGAACATTTATCTACTTGTTTGATCTTCTCAAACCTTGTAGTGAGGGTTGATTAGACACTTCAAGGGATGTGTCAAAAGAAACAGATTCTAATGGTTGATTTTAGATCAGATAGGTTGGGTCGTTATGCACTCACTGTCTACACCTGCAACATTGTAACACCTTCATTTTCTAACACTAGAACTTAGTTAGGTTACAAGCCTACGTAGTAGAATAAGCCAAAGGATTCTATCAAACTTAGGATTAAAGGGTCGTTTGATTCACGGAATGTCAGATTACCTTAGGGAATGTTAGATTGTTAGGGATGTTAGATTACTGGGAATGTTAAATTAGTGAGAATGTTAGATTTATGTATTTGGTAAAAACAGGGCTATGTAATATAAACATGTTTGGTTGATGAATTATTGATTATGTTATAATGGTTATTTTACCTTAATACCATCATATTGCAAATCACCTTACAAACAAGAAAATGTGCCAAACTGATTTGATGATACTAGAGCAGAAACAACTAATTCAGACTGCATTGATGATGAAATAATGGACAAAAATGTCTTGCATTTCTCACAAATACTGCATCAAAATTCCTGAAAAGAAAATATGAAATAAAATTCAAAAGTACATTAGCGATTTATACTACATTAAATCAAAGAAAAAAATCTACAATTTAAGCAAAGTTGATCATATATACATATATAGGGATGCACTCAGGTGCGAATAAGTGCCCAGGAAGGAATATGCGAACGAATCAGCGCGCGACATGTGTCCAGGTTTAATAATTTAAAAAAAAAAAGCGGTGGCATTTTCATAAATAATTGAACATCGAAGTGCAAGTAAAATCACTTACAAGTGCACCTACTTTCACCTATAAGTGCAAGTAATTTTGCCTTGTTAGTATTCACTTCCCGCAAACATTCATGCACCTGGGTGTGCTTATAA